CACTTAAACAGTTTGCCACTCGGACTGGATGCGGCAGCTAACATCCGGCCTAGCGTTACCACAGGATAGGGACGATGGGGCAAGCTTTCTCTAGCCAAGGGGCTGTCACCACCCTTAGGATTCCCACCAAGCTACTCATGCAAGCATGAAAGCTTTTACCTGCTGCGATAGAGATATATTGGCTAAGGGTGTTTGCTCGTTTGTCAATGTAGTATGCACAGGGGATAACGCCTTCACTGCTTGTAACCAATGTCGCAGGGTGCTGATCACCTGCGCCTTAGAGGCGAACATTTGACTAAGGCTTTTAAGTTTTAACTCCTTTCGCTCCTAGCCCCTTTCTCTAGTTCATAATCTCGCATGAATTTGTACTCCCCCTCTTAAACGTTCATCTTCTCAAGCTTCGTGTGACACAGACATAGTACCAAATGGTCTTGGCATAATGGGCCCCTAACTGCATGTTCGACACCACCTCTGATTGGTAGCGAACAACGGGATCTATCAGGCCTGCTGAGAGTTTTCACACCCCCACGGCACTCCCCCTGCCCTACTCTGCCATGGAGAGATGACGCCTAATGACGCTGTCAGTCTAACGAGTGACAGGAGGTGTTTTTTTTTTTTGGGGTCGACCTCCCCCCATAACACCAGAGCCCTTTGCTGAAGCAACACATCCTCCTGTACGCTGGGGCTAAGCCAAGTCTAGAGAATTCTTGGACACCAAAGTGTTCAAAGCTCTGTAGAACCTGCTCACTCATCACCACTCCTAGGATACCCAATTAAAAGACTCACTCGATCTGATAAGGAAAGCATCAAATGATCCTGTAATCAAACAACACACTCACCACTGGAGAGGCAGCTTCCCCCTCAACACACCATGCATGGTCCACGCACATGGTGTGAACACTCGTGCACATATGCTAGGTCTGCTGCTTTGTCCAGCCTCGTTGCGGCAGCTGACGAAGGAGGTGACTGGGTCCGGAGTTCACTAACAAGCCGGACCAGTGCAACAGTAGGCCTTAGCAGTCCCTAGGACCACCCCACAACGTTGCTAGTTTCCTAGGCTTTGCCTGGTAGTACGCTCGGCTCACTCACGTCGCCCGCCCTCTCTTCCAGCTCGCTTGCATGCTTGCACAACTCATACACATGGTTTGCATATGAACAGCCACGTCTATTTGTACATGCATGTTGCGCTGGGTGGACTTCCCTTGCCGAGGCAGCAGCATCAGCACTTGGACTTAACTGACTGCTGCACCGCTTTAGCCATCCAATCGTGCACTTAGACAGTTTGCATGCATCACGTCCCCGCAGTGTGGTTTCTAGAGCCTAACTATGTGCCAGTTCTAGCTGGATGTGGTCGAATGAGGCTTTTATAGCCTCAGGAACACCTGCATACCACGCGCCTGTACCTGGCGCTTGGATCACGCCAGGTGCAGACACAAAAACTCATCACATGTCCTACATTGGCCCCGGAAAAATCCAGGGGATTGGCTTCCTGTTTACAGTCCACTCTGTAGTACCGGGTGAATCTGCCCTTCTCTCAACTCCAGGCTATGGTGTCTCTTCTCTCTTCCTCTTCTGTACCTCAGCCAGAGGTCGTTGGGGGCACGATCTCGGTGGCGAGTTGGGTGGAGACAGTGCTGCTCAGATGCAGGGGGTTGTGTGGGCACTGGAGGAGGCGCCAGCACCTGACTGCGTGCGTTTGTTTACTTGCGTCAGGCTGATGCTCTCCTAAGTGATTGTCACACGCTCCTTGATGAAGGGGGTGGGCGAGGTGCTGAGATGACCAAGCGCTTTGGGGGGGGGGGTTGTTGCCAGTCACCATGTCAGCAGTGGTTTCACCTACATTATCAATTTCAATACTGACATCAGCAACTACAACAATTTCAACAGCTATATCACGTCCATCATCTTCATCTACAAGGACTGTTGTCCCAGCGCGCATTACGGCGGTTTCACACTGTTTCCGGCATCCTTCTACAACAATGGCTCCCATTTTCCAACCTGCGGGAGCATCTCCAATATTGATTGTTTTAGCAGATTCTATTCAAGGGTCTGGCCGCGCCGATGGCGAACGTTGGTGGGGCTCACTAATTGGGATGGTCTTGGCAACCCCTCCCTCTCTCCTTTGCTCTCCAGCTCGATGCCCGAGGTGCTCGCAGAGCGGGCTCTCCCTTACGATGCGGACTCTCTCACCTTCCTCTTGCGAGAGCCGACTTGGCACCCGGATTGCTGCAGAGATCTGTAGTTATCGTCTTCGCTGCTCAGAGTTTTGGACGGGAAGGGTCGGGGCTGGCAAACTGACTATGTGAAGGGGAGGGCTCTCTCCTCCCTCTTGTTTTTCGATCATATTGATCTTGCCTGTGTGCCATTCGATCAAAGGGGGGGGACAGGGGGATTGTGGGCATGCGCATCCATCAATGGCGCCCCTCCCCTTGCTTTTGATGGCTGTTTGCATCTCTAACCACCAGGGGGAGGGAATAGGGGACGTCTGATCACAGCTTTCTCCCTCCGCCATCATCCATCTGGGTGTTGTATGGTTTTCATTTGTATGATCCGTGCAGTCGCTGTTCACTGTTTTTCATTTTGTCTGCACTTATGTCATTGGCGATCATCTCTTACTACTTGTTGTGGTCCTGGCGGTCATCTGCAGTTTTGTTGAGGAGGGCGATCTGGCTGCACGTTGTGTCTCGCCCTCCCTTCATTTGAACTGATTTGGTCTGACTTGATTTCCTTTCTGTTGGTTCGATTGTATGGGCATTGATTTGATTGGTTTGGATTTGCTTTGATTGATTGATTGATTTACTAAATAGGATCCGAGGAGGGATTTCTGGGTTGCACGATGACCTCTTCCCTCTGCGACCTCCGCTCGAAACATGTGTGATGGTGGTAGTGGAGTGCTGCTGTCTTTAGGGTTGTGCCATGTGGCCGGAATGGGGAGGAACTTTACTGTCAGTGGGTTACGGACAGTCGTTAGGTGGTGTGCCCATCCTTGGGGGTCTAGATAGGCAGTTAATCCCCTTGCACAAGGGCAATCAATGATGCTCATCGTTTACGTTCATTCCTTTGCGCGTGTATTCGTAAAGTTTGGACCATTTGGTCCATTTCTCGATTTAATTCCCTGTCCAACCGGAGCCAGACCGGCCCAGGGGCGTTGAACTGGGAAACCGGTTCTTTGAAAAAATGCCCAAATATAAACTTATTATTTTTTCCGGTGGATTCCGACTGCGCTCTTCGAGAGCTGTCGAGATCTGCAATAAGTGGTGCATTTTTTTTTTCCTTCCCAGAAGAGGGGGGCCCGGGGGGGGGGGGAGGTATTATTGGGATATTCAGGGAGGTATGGTTTTCAGCGGGAGGAGTCGAGTAAACAGGTTCACTTATCAGACCCCCTCATGGCCTAGGAATTTCAATTCAGCACAATAAGGCGTCGTGGACTATGCCAGCAGATATCAACACCCCAATGAGAATGATTAGAGGTGGTCCTTGCCAAAACTTACAGCTCTTCCAGAGACTAGCTTGATAGCAGGAAAGTTATGGGTTCAGGTTTCAGCTCGTGCAGCTACAGCATTTTCTGTTTGTTTTTTTCTAAACGGTGGGTCATCAATCAGGAAGTATCTTGCCTGGTAGTCTGTGCAGATACATGCAGTGGAGCTAGGTCCATTCTAGATAGATTTAGAGGATAATATAGCTGAGGTCCATACTTGGGCTTGCACCTTCCCCGAGCGTAGGGACGTCGCAGAAGCATCTATTCTCAGCAGAGCCACACCATCAGCACTGTGTTTTCCTCGTGGCTGAGGGTGAATGAGGTCCAGGTCATGCCCATGACATCTGGTCCGCTGGACCACACAATGCTAAATTGGAGAACGGGGTCTGTTGGACCCTGTACATTGAGAAATCGCGCGGCGTTTTCTGCCACTGCAAAGATCAGCGGCGAAGATCTTCCGCCTGCTCTTCTCAAGAAGTGGGGTTCATAATTTCCCTTTTTTTTTTTTTTTAAGAGGCAGCGGCCTCCCGGGGACTGGCCAATCGCGGGGCTGCCCGTGACTCCCCAGTACCCCCTTCCCCCCCAGCGTAGTGCGCTGGTCTCGACCGGGGGTCTGCCGGGCCGGTCGACCACCAGGTCCGACCGGCAGGCTTCCTGTCGGGGAAGGGGCCCCCGGTCCAACCAGAAACAACCACCAAGGATCTCTCTCTCTCTCTCTCTCTCTCTCTCTCTCTCTCTCTCTCTCTCTCTCTCTCTCTCTCTCTNTCTCTCTCTCTCTCTCTCTCTCTCTCTCTCTCTCTCTCTCTCTCTCTCTCTCTGTGTGTGTGTGTGTGTGTGTGTGTGTGTGTGTGTGTGTGCAAGTGTGTGTCTGAATGTCTTCTCTCCTCCTGTCTGTACACTACAGCTATGGCGCCCACCACCTGTCAACTACAACTACTCCCACCCTCGCTTACTGTCTCAGTTGTCACTTGGGCATACTACTGCGCAACGACACCTCCCACAAGCATGGATGGAATGAATATTGACAGCAGCTACTGCTGTCGTTGTATACATGACGATTCAGCTCCCCAGTCCTTGGAACTGTAGCCCTGGTATCCGCTAGCCTATTGGCCTGAGTCTGTCGGCCTGAAACGTTTTCCAGAATGTTCACTGACCTTCCTGGGACCCTGGACCGCTGACTCACCCGAGACTGGACTAGACTGTTCTGGACTCTACTAACCTACCAGATACCTAACTACCGTAGTAACCGAGTCTCCGCCTATTTTTCCAGTTGGACCCTAAACTTCCGGAACTTACTTGTGGGACCCCTCTCTGGACTCTTGGCATCACAGTGCTGAGGTGAAGGTTCCTTGGACGTACATCGCAGAGAGAGAACATCTCAAAATTTGTAATGATTGGATAAGGACGGTGGGGTGGGGTATGGACCAAAGACCAAAAAAAGAAGGGTCTATTCAACTCTATTGGCCTCTGGAAAATGACATTTTTTTTCCCTTTTCCTCCTCACTGTCTTGATGCTTTTCAGGTTGCAGTTCTGTTCAAGGTCAAGGGAACAGTCGAAGATCTCAAGCAAAAGTTGGTCTCCATTTTGGTACCACAGAGAGAGGGGCTAGTGGACTCCAACAGGGGGAAAGAGGGTGATGAGCTAAGTGAGCTAACAGATCAAACTCTCAGGTATTCTAGTCATTCCGTCAGCTTCTGAAGGCAAAAAAAAAAAAAAAAAAAAGAAAGGATGGCCTTGCATTTCTGGTGATCTCGCGGATGTGGGGGCTCACAGTGGTCAGCCTTAGGGAGTATAATTGGAGTAGCAGCCATAGGCGGTCACCTGGGATCCCATAGCCAGTTGTTGGGGATTGCGTCACCTAGATTCTCCTGTGATGCAGTTGCAGGACGTTATCTTTTCACCAGTGAGTAAGAGAGAAAAGCAAAAAGAGGCGGGGAAGTGGGTGGATGGAGGGAGGGATACATAGCTAGAGATGGAGATACAGATCAATGCACACACACACTCTCTCTCTCTCTCACACACACACACACACACACACACACACAGAGAGAGAGAGAGAGAGAGAGAGAGAGAGAGAGAGAGAGAGAGAGAGAGAGAGAGAGAGAGAGAGAGAGAGAGAGAGAGGAACCTGCCAAACACGGACTGAGACACACAGCTGATTTCTGTGTTTTGCCAATGGAATGCATGCCTTGCTGAGTTTCCAAGTTGATGCTGAGTTTCCTAAGTCTGTGTGTGTGTGTGCTTGCTGGTCTGCATGCCTGTCTGAGTGCTTGTCGGCTTGAGTTTGTGTGTGACCCGGAAGGGCACTTGTTCGTTCGGAAGGCCCGAAGGGCCGGTACTTACCTGTGGCCGTGACGTTGAGGGTTGCAGCGGGGAAAACACTCAAGTGGCTGGGAAAGAGGCCCGCGACACTTAGAGCAGCGGAAACACACTCAAGTAGCAGGTAGGCCGGTACCACACCAAGTAGAGGTAGATGTGCCGGGTACTCGACGCCGAGCAGAAGAAGACAAAAGTTGGCATTTTTAGAGGCCCAGTAGTTGTAGTCTAGGTCTAGGCGGGTACCAGTCCAACCAGTCTGAGTTTAGGCCCTGTACGGGCAATATGAGAGTCTGCAATGATGCTTCCCTCCGAAAGGGAGGACGTACCGGTTGCTTGGAAGTCGTGCGGCCTAGGAAGTCACCGCCCAAGAGGCAAGCAGGCCGCTATATCTCCAGGAGGACCGAAGTGCTCCTCCTCATTCTTCAGTGTGCAATTATGGCGACACACTGCTTGGAGCGCTGGCTGGAGCAACACTGCTTGGAGCAGTGCTGCTGGGGAGGACATAGCGCCCAGCTCTCCACCACGGCTATGGTTGAGGAGTACGGGCTGGAGGAGGAGGGAGACGAGGACTAGGAAGAGGGAGAGCGCCACAGGTACTTAACTGTCTATGGAGGATGCCATCTTCATCACCTTGGTGTTCGCTGCATCTGGAAGGCCCCGCTGGGGTAGAGCTGCACCAAGAAAATTTGAGGCTGAGTCAGGCATGGTGGCCTGAGAAGGAGCAGCCATAGCTGCTTTGTGTTGTACTTTGCACAGCAGGGCAAGGCCCTGGTAGTCCGCCATAGCCTCGGCCTTTGAGGAGGAAGGAAGAAGGGTGGCCATGGCTATGGTGGACCTCATGTGATACCTGCAGTAGAAGAGGGACTCGGACATTGATTCTGGTTCAACCATTCAAGTGATTCAACATTATTGTTATTTATTGTTTGAATAAGAGGGGAGGAGAAAAGGAGGAGAGTGGTTGGTGAAGAAGAAGGGAATTATCATTGGTCTTTGCTGGTGTACATCTTCTTCTTCTTTCTTTCATCTTCTTCTTCTTCTTTCCCTCTCTCCTCTCAAGTTCATTCATTTCTTTCTGCAAGTGGACGGCATTGTACTTCAAAATTGGCCACAATCATAATGGGGAGAGAGAGAGAGAGAGAGAGACCAACTGACCGACTGGCTGGCTGGCTGAGCAACCCACCGGCCGACCGAGCGACGACGGACAGTTGGACTGACTGAAGGACCGACAGAGGGACTGACTGACGGATGGACAAACAAACGGACATACATATTGACGGACAGACATCTCGGGCTGTCGGTCTGTCTATCCGTCTGTCCGTCTGTCCGTCTGTCCGTCGGTCTGTTTGTCTTTCTGTCTSTCKSTCTCTCTCTCTCTCTCTCTCTCTCTCTCTCTCTCTCTCTCTCTCTCTCTCTCTCTCTCTCTCTCTCTCTCKCKCTCKCTCTYCCTCTGTCTGTCTGTCTATCTGTCTCTATCTCCATCTCTAGCTCTCTTTCCCTCCCTCCATCGACCCACTTCCCTGCCTCTCTTTGCTTTTCTCTCTTGCTGAGAGGTGAAAAGATAACGCACTGAAGCTGCATCACAGCAGAATCTAGGTGACACAATCCCCAACAATTGGCTATGGAGAAGATCCCAGGTGACCACCTATGGCTGCAACTCCAGTTGTACTCCCCTGACCACTGTGAACCTCTTGATCCCCTCCTAGTTCTCCGCTTCAATGATCTCCCTCTCAACCAATCTTCGAGTACTGTGGCTATGTCAACTGCCACTCTTCCTTATGCCAAACTCCACTACTGGAGAATAGTCACCAGTTTGAGCATACTAGCATGGCTGCGAGACAAAAGGAGAAACTAATATACTCCCCTTGCCCATTCTTTCATCATCATTATCATCATCATCATCATCATCTTCTTCTTCTTCTTCTTCTTCTTTTTCTTCTTCTTCTTCTTCTTCTTCTTCTTCTCCTTCTTCTCTTCTCCTTCTTCTCCTTCTCCTTCTCCTTCTCCTGCTTCGTCGTCTTCGTCTTCTTCGTTCTCCTTCTTCTTCGTCTTCTTCGTTCTCCTTCTTCTTCTTTGTCGTCGTCGTCTTCGTCGTCGTCGTTGTCGTCGTCTTCTTCTTCTTTGTCGTCGTCGTCGTCTTGTTCTTCTTGTTCTTCTTGTTCTTCTTCTTCTTCTTCTTCTTCTTCTTCTTCGTCGTCGTCGTCGTCGTCGTCGTCGTCGTCTTCTTCTTCGTCGTCTTCGTCTTCGTCTTCGTCTTCGTCGTCGTCGTCTTCTTCTTCTTTTCTTCTTCTTCTTCTTCTTCTTCTTCTTCTTCTTCTTCTTCTTCTTCTTCTTCTTCTTCGCCGTCGTCGTCTTCTTCGTCGTCGTCTTCTTCGTCATCGTCTTCGTCGTCGTCGTCTTCTTCTTCGTTGTCGTCGTCGTCTTCTTCTTCTTCTTCTTCTTCTTCTTCTTCTTCTTCTTCTTCTTCTTCTTC